GCTATAGTTTCCCACGGTGCTTCAAGCTTGCATGCTTATTACTTGAGGACGCATATGGTGGTCAGATCACTTGGTTCTCCAAAGGCAGGACTCGGGCAGCCATAATAATCTGCACATCATTGTGCTTGATATCTTAGGTAGCGAAGTCGAACAGAATTCCGTTCTTCAAATACAATAACTCATGTAAATCATAGTACACATATATTGTCCTGACTGTTCACGACCGTTGACCTAGCCTACTTGGGCCGCTCTGAATATTTCTAGAGGTAAGCTGATATCTTCGGTAAGCTGAAATCTGAAAATGTCCTACCGGTAGGACATTTTTATGATTTTCCTTTCATAAAAGTTTTCTCCCGATATTCAGCTTCCAATCGTGGATTGTGTCATTCACACTGACCTCACTAGCTGATTGGTCTCTGGTCAAAAATACAGTCAAAACTATGAAATTTTGGTCAACGAAACAGAGAAAAGCTTCCATTTAAAAATCTTCCAAAATGTCTCTTTCTATTCTGATGATTATCTGTTTATCAAAGCTATCTTCGGTAATCTAGCGTTTAGTACTTCATTGTGGCTTGTTCCATCCACAGTGAACTCGCTTATTGGTACCTTACAAGACATATTTATGTGGATCATAATTCTGGGGATCGGAATTATGGGGGAACGAAAATATGGGGATTTTTTTCAGAAATCCCCAAATTTCGTACCCCAAATTAAATTGTCGCATTTTCACGCTAAATTATTTCAGAGAAATCAAAATCAGTTTTTGATGGAATTTTTAAAAATCGTGAAAAACTAAATTAATTAAGAATCATTCTCTTCGTTTAAATCGTGGTAAAACTATCATTAAAAACGGATTTAGGAAATCAGCTATAACTGAGGCAATTAAAATATTAGAATTTTCGGAGCAGGATCCATTTGTTTAACAACAATGTTTTGCTGTTCAAGTTATTCCATAACGGTGAAAATTGCATGTCTTCCTTATTCTATTTTGTTTTTCTAGTGTGAAACTAGTCGTTGTTATAGAAGTCTATATAAAATTATATGTGAGATAATTTTGAATCTGACGCACGTTTTTCACGTAACACTGAAAAACCAGTATTTTCTATTCAGTAATTTTTATACTAAGTAACTTTCTATTTACCTGAGAAATGCGTATCCTTGTCTCATTCTCACAAAACATGTATAACAACTTATTTGACAAATTCACCTCAAATTAGCCCTACTTAAGCCAATTACATAAAAATTAATGTGTGGGATTTTGAAATGGCGGCCACAATTTTGGTAGTACGAAAATATGGGGATTTTTTCCAAAAATCCCCAAATTTCGTACCATATAAATATGTCTCGTAAGGTAACTGGAAAGAAATCAAACTGTGAAGTGTTGACCCAGGAAAGTTCATATTTGAAAATGTTCTACCGGTAGTACATTTTGATAATTTCCCATTTTGCGAAGCATTCTCCGGTATAATGACTTCCAGTAGCTCAATTGAGGGGGTGGGGGGGGGGGGGGAGGGAGAAGATCACCCATTTTTCTCTTGTGCAAGATACATGGAGGCAGCAGAATGACGAGTACTACCAGATCTCGGTGGAACTAAATGGATCCACGATATCACGACAGGTCCTTCTCCAACCCCTTCCTCTTGAATAACGAATAATATTACATAAATCTAGAATATGAGTATAATTATGTATGATTCTAGAACTTCATAACTCAGCTGATTAAACTTGAAGTTGTATAACTGAGCAGTTCCTAGTTGCCAGTAGTCGAGCAGGGAGTTTCCCTACAATAGCTCATTGTAACCATGGTTACGTGACGTACGCCAGTCACCATTTCACTGCAATACAATGCCCGATCAATTTGCTAGATTAACTTTAGTAATTAGCCTTTAGTTAAAGAATCGCGCAAGAAGTTGTCTAATTTGTGGGCCCTACAAAGATCGGTTAATGAGGAGAGGTAATTAACTAAACTGAATCTCAATCAAATATTGCGTGGTACGACGTCCAATTCTAGAGTAGCAAAGATCACGTGGGAGTCAGTTGACCAATCTATAATCACGCGAGACTATTTTAGGGGAGACTAGACATGCACAGATCTCAGTTATACCGAGACCGACAGTCTCCCCGCTGCTTGATCTTAATTGCTGGTGAATGACCAGATCGTTGCTAGGTTCAAGCTCTTCCAGGCTCGATCAGATTGAAGCTATTTCTTAGATTACGTTTAGTAGCGATACGAATATCCGAGGAAAGTATAGGGATCATACTGTTTCATTTCTTCTCCTCCGACCTCCATATTTTACAAAATTGCACAACATTATTTGAATTGTGTATCATGGACAGTTCCCCATACTTATAAGTTCCTCAATTTAACCGAGTTTCAAAAGTTGTTGAAACTTTGTAGCTGGCTTAAAGTAAGTATTGAGTTGTAGCGATTTTAAAGTAGCGAGGTATAATGATCAGGCAGCTCGACAACACCCTACAATATTCTGCAACACTGACTAATAGCCTGTTTCCACGCCTCTGTAAATCCTCGACAGAGTGACGGTGATCAGGGGACCTTTTGTTCGGGTCCTTGATCTTGGGATTTAGAGGTCAATATGAGGCACATGACCCTGAGGAAGACCTCTGATTGGTGGACGTGAGAAGTTAAGTAGAGGAAGGATCCCGAGGAAGTTAACTCAGCCCAAAGCTGAGTATTAGTTTGCTTCCTCAGGAGTACAGGGGGATTCCTAGTGGCAGTCATAACAAAGCAAGGTTAAATCATTAAATTAGGATAAGAACAATAGGAATAGTATTAGACTCGTGCGGTATTTTATTAAATCATGATCGTAAATACTCCAATTTTTAAGCACCTGCTCATTCAAATTTGAAAATTAGAAGTCAGATACATCTAAAGACGTATTGTACAAAGCTAACTGAGGGGACAATGGTAGGTCATTTCCCCAGCAGAGGATACAAATACTCGACTTGGGGAGACCGCCGCTGATCCATCACTTCTTGTTCGCCCATTTGCCAGACACTGGACTTCTGACAAAGGAATATCTAGCACCATCCTCTTTCGTCTATTAGCTGGATCTTTGCCGGTAAAATGTTGGGAAGTTTTTGTCCCTTAATTTTGGATGAGTCTAGGGTAATGAAGCGATGAACAAAGGATGTTGGTGAGACATAGATGATTTGTCAGCCATCGTTTAGCTATAAGAGATACCAATATTTTTGAGCAGTCAGTACCATTCTGGTGGTTCAGAGTTTCCGGGGTTGAATAGCTTTCAGAGATTTCTTACTCGTGGTCTTGCACCCCAAGGTCCACAATCTCACTCTATTTCACAGGCCAGTCCCCAGTCAGTCCTTTTTTTTTGTCAACTCATCGCTGTAGATTTTACATTCAGTGACCTATCAGAGAGTTGGATTTAGGTCACATGACTCCAATCTCCACTCAGAGAGCTGTATTGTGAACTGTATGTGACTCTCAATCACTAGGCTAATAGTCCTACTCAAGTCATAGGCTATTCAAGTTCTGTTAGGTAATAAAGGATATCGTTTTTATATCCAAGGAAATGCCATTTTCGGTGCTATTTTTCATGTCATTAATCTTTATCTACGAAAAGCAGTCCACATGTCATAAGGCTTAGGAGAAAAATCTTTTGCTTTCTGCTTATTTTGTTCTCGGTAAAAAAACGTGCGCTTTTTTCTCTCAAAAGTGGGAGCAGTATTTTTTGTGAGGTTTTTACTTTTTATCAAGATCGAAGTTAGGTTTTAGCGCGTACCACTATTGTCACTGTCAGTAGGACAGTTAATTAGGAACTATTATATAATAAAATCCACATGCACAGAAGTAGACTAAGTCTGTAACGAGACAACAGGAAGAGGGTGCAGTCTTTTGGGGCTATCAAGTTATTTAACTCTAGGTCATATGAGAGATTTAGCCCCAGTTTAATCCATCATTACCCGCAATAGCACGGAAGAGAGTTAAGCTAGCGGGTTCACATCCTAAAGTAATGTACTATGTTAGTAGTAGAATACACAGGACACAGTGCCATTAGATCCCATATTGTTAAACATCGTTCAGTACGATATTATGTTGTGTCCTAGGAAGGTACGAAACAATCGTGATGGAGTTTAGGTTTACTAGATTTTCTGTGTTAATTACACAGATTACATATGTTGGTTTTACAATTACATATTCCTCTCGGGTATTAATACTCGAAGCCTCAATTGCCATTTCTAACGCGTTTTGTCTGGTCTCCAGTTCTTTATCCATTGAGAAGATCTTGAATTTTGATTTGCCGAATTTCCTTAATTTTGTAACGTCCGATTTTCTGAACATATTTAGGAATATCCTTAGCCACCAGATCCTTATCGTATTAATTGATTTAAAATAAACTTTCAAATGAGAAAATAGCCTGACGACTTTCTCATGAATTCGCAGCTTTATTAAATACTGCTTCACCCTAATTTATAATTCTGAGCTGGCTAACAAACTGACATAATTTTCTAAATTTCTTAACTCAAAGACTTTTGATTGATGGGCTATCAAATTGAAGATGGAAATGTTTTTTGTAGATTTCATTTAAGTAGCGGGAGTCTTTGACGTCATTTATTTTTAAAATGAGATATCTACTTTAACGTCAAAGAAGTGTATTAGTACTAATAGTGATGACGAGATCATTATGACAAATCTTTGATCTTGAACTGAAGAAATAGCAGACTCAAACTCGTTTTAGCATATTTTTGAAAAGAAGAGCGGCCCTTTATATCAGTTTTATTTAATATAGAAATTATTGCTTTTCGTCTATTTGTTACTTCTGATCGTACGGTGTGCCTCCAACTTCAAACCTCCACAACGTATTCCTCTAATATTCATCACAAAAATAAAATGATTTAATCGACTTTTTATCTTCTTTCATATTCACAAGCAACTGTTGTACGATTACTAAACATAATGTTACTGCATTGACAATGTTTATATGGATAATATTAGATCTAACTGACAAATAACATTAAGGAAGATTACGAAGACAAAAGCATTCCTACAGAGTTCAGTTTGAAAATGAAGAGTGTTATATTTATAGGTAAGACTTCAGATTTTTACTTTCGTTTATACGTTAGATTTCTCCGAAATTTCGACAATGGATAAGGGAACCGATTTATGGTTGAATAATAACGATTACATTAATTAATTAACTTACTGTTGGAAAATTTGTGGCTTTGTATCATTCTAAAGGTCCACTAACCACACACCCAATTACAAGGATTCTATTTTCAGGACTATTTCTAATGCTGGCTCTAAATGACGTTGCAGCGGGAGATCTGAAAAGAAGATCCGTGGACGATTCCCAAGTGGTAAAGAGAGGAGTGGAGGACGAGGAATTCAGAGGTATGCGGGAGCAAGACGACGAGGAAAGCAGAGAGAAACGTGAAATTGCTGACGATGAGCTGTTTAGAGGCAAACGCGAATTCCGAGGCAAGAGAGAGTTTCGGGGCAAGAGAGAGTTTAGAGGCAAGAGAGAGTTTAGAGGCAAGAGAGAGTTCCGAGGCAAGAGGGAATTTAGAGGAATGAAGAACAGCGAAGATGAGGAATATTTCAGAGGAAAAAGGGACTTGAGTCAGTAGGAAAAAGGGACTTGAGTCAGTAGGAAAAAGGGTTGTAATCTTTTCGAACTAATTTAACGAATCGTTTAAATGATACTGACAGTGACACTACAATTGAGATTACATGAATTCCTTGATAAATCGTCGCAAGATGATAGCGTGTGTTACACAGCTTTTTTAAAAATCGTCCGTGGTTACATTTAGTTTTATTTAGAGTCGGGGACCCAGGATATAATGTTCATAAACATATGATTGAAGCTGCGGTGGAATGACAGGAGCTGAGCGCCGCCCAGTAAGTTGACACGAATCTTGATTTTTGATCGGTTAGTTTGTGTCACGTGACAAGAATACAGCTTTGTGACTGGTAAAGATTTTAGGTGTACGATACAAGTTTTCCACGACCAGGCTACTGTGCCAGGTTCATTATATAACTGTTCACATCTTTTTTACGAGTAACGAAGGTTTTATTTGGTTAGTTTTGCATCAATATTGAGTTTTATTGCGTCAAAATTCAAATCATCACTTGAAGTTGACAAAAGATAATAATTGGCAATAATAATTTATAAGCTCGGGCGTGTCATTGAGTCTCATTTGATGATTTTATCAAGAAAATTCCCAATTTTTTTCTGAATAGACTCAGTTATGACAATGTTTTGCTTTGGTAACATAGTTAACAAGCCACATCCCATCAACAACTTCCCTAGCATCTTTAAGTTGATGGGACTTATTAATGACCTCCCCTCCACCACCAACAACATGGATGCTTGCCTTGTTACTAGGTACGACACTCAGCAAGCTAAGTTAAGCCTCCATAAAGACGATGAAGACCTAATAATATCACAGTCCAGCTCCATTTGCACTTACTCAATAGGGGCTCCACGGTCACTTGAGTTTGTGCTCGATACAACCCAAGTAGAACAACGCACAACTAGGGCCTCTAGGTCAAGGCCAGCCCATGAGTTGATTAACGCAGACTTCACCCTTCCTGCCACCAATGGCACACTGAACATCATGAAGCCTGGTGCACACTGCACAGCAAGTCATGAGGCACAGGATTGCCCCAGGAGTTGCACCTTCTGACAATGAAATTTGTTGGAGGTATATATAGGTATATATAATGAACGCGCGCTGAACCAGTGTTGCACTAGGTAAAAATTGTGTATATTTTGTTCATTTTTGAGTGTAAATTAATTTATTAATTTATCACAAATTATTTTATTATAATATAACCACTTATGTGAAATGGTTATTTTGACTTTAAATATATGAACTAAATATGAATTGATTGTGGGTATAAAATAAAATTTGTTTTAAAAAAATTTGTTTTACTATAGTCTCTCCTTCAGAAAGTTAACCACACCTTCCTCTTCCCCTTCATCTCCTATTCTTCCCTCTCCTACATCCGACAGTCCTAATAAAGTATCTCCAAAAGCTCCCATCACAGACTCTCAAAAACACCAGAAGTCTATCATTCTCATTGCTGGTGACTCCTTTGCTGCTCGATTGGACGCTGATCGCCTCAGTAGAGGTAAAGAAACTGTCACCAACATAGCTAAGGGTGGGCTTAAGATCTCAGCTATACAGAAATCTATTGAGGCCTTTCATACAAAGAACCCTCTTGTGCAGGTAAAGAAACTGTTCTTAAGCTTCGGTGCCAACGACATCCGGTACTGTACCCAGGGTGTCAATCATCTCAAGACCCCTGTGAGCAGAGGCACATATTAGGTGCGATGGGTGCGGGATCGCACAATTTACCGTTTTCCGCACATGTCCGCATAATTTATTGTTTTCCGCACATTTTGTAATTTTCTGCATATTTCCGCATAATCTAGCATTTTCCGCGTAATTTCGCATAATTTTGAAATTTTCGCGTTAAGATTTTCGAGTGTAAAAACCAAAATATGTTATAGTCGGGCCCTTTTAGGACCGTGTCTCAGGCCCTTTCGGGACCCTGACCCAGGCCCTTTTAGGACCGTGACTCAGGGCCTTTCGGGACCTTGACCCAGGCCCTTTTAGGACCGTGATTCAGGCCCTTTCGGGACCGTGACCCAGGCCCTTTTGGAACTCATACCTAGGCCACGTGACCCAGTTACCACGTGACACAGGCCCTTTCGGGACCCTGACCCAGGCCCTTTCGGGACCGTGACCCAGGCCCTTTTGGAACTCATGCCTAGGCCACGTGACCCAGTTACCACGTGACACAGGCCCTTTCGGGACCCTGACCCAGGCCCTTTCGGGACCGTGACCCAGGCCCTTTCGGGACCGTTACCCAGGCCCTTTTGGGACCGTGACCCAGGCCCTTTCGGGACCGTTACCCAGGCCCTTTCGGGACCGTGATCCAGGCCCTTTCGGACCGTGACCCAGGCCCTTTCGGGACCGTGACCCAGGCCGTTATGAAACCCTCGTCGTTACCATACTTTGATTATAGTTTATCAGTTATCATTCGTAACTTCACCACATCATCTGATTACTCTAAGTCACTGTTCTCAGATAACTGAATCTCAATATAGGTTCAATCATGGTCTTAGTAAAGAACTACACCCTCAGTAACACATAAACAGACCTATTTTTGATAAGAGCGGCGGTTATACGTTTAGAATTTCCAAAGTCCTTGAGAAAATGCAAAAGAAAACTGAACAATTCCCGCACAAATTTCGAAAAAATCGCCGCACATTTGCCGCATAATTGGTAAAAATTTACCGCAACTTACCGCACATTTTACCTTTATAGTCGGGTGCGGTACCGCATAATTTCGATTTTTTTACCGCACCTAATATGTGCCTCTGCCTGTGAGTGACCTTATGAAGACAGCAAAAAAACTTTATCCAAATGCACGTGTTTTTGTACAAGCTATTCCACCAGTCCACCCCAACGGACAAGATAAAATCCCTGGTAATGTTTGTGCTATGAATAATTTGATCTTTGATCGCTGCTCTAGGCATAAACTGTTTTACCTTGATGTTTTTTGGGCTTACTTAGACCGCTATGGAAACAGAAACGAGAGATTATTTCCTAAATGTGACAATAGGGGCTTTTATGATATTCATCCCAGCCCCAAGGCTGGGATGCCAGTGTTGGCAAAGTTCTATCTCAGAATCATACACTCAAAGTGGTTTAATCCATTGGGATACTGATGTGGTAATTCAATTCAATATTTAAATTTTTCATTGTCTGCATCAGTATCCTATTGGATCTGATCATTTGGATGTTATTTATATGTATTCAAACGAAGTGATAGCATAATGTATGTTACTTCATATTATAGCACAATACCTAACAAAACACAACGGCGAGACACAATTCTGTTAATAATATACTTTAAAGTTCCATGGGAATATCGGCTCAACAACACCGTGTTGCAACTGGTATGTTTTCTAGGTATGTTATCATCAGCAAAAGTAATAGAGGTAACGGGGAAAATTTGTTGTCCTGTCTTCTGTCTCGTCATATGTTATGTGCTCTATTGGGTATATTTTATTTTTATGTGTTTGTTTGGGGACTGGTTTGTAAGCCAGCCAATGTTTACAAATATAATATTAATAACTTTATTACATAATCATAAATATATATCATAAATAGATCAAATCTGAAACACAAATTTGCACGCAGTTAATAAATTTATTTAAAAAAAAGAAAATGAAAAAAAAAGTTTATTGATAAAAACAAAATATGGAGCACTCTGTGCTTCCAACAGCCTTTCAGACTCGCGCTAAGTTTGTTAGGGACTGATTTAGGATATCGTAGATATTGCTATGCCATGCCATTAGTTTGGATATGTAGTGTTTGTGATTGTTGAAATAAATTAATTACGGTTTGTGCTGATAGGAAAATAGTGATAGTGGGGAATGTGGCAGTGTAAATATGGACCTGGAATTTAGGATGTGTGGCTTATCCATTAATATTAGTTGCCGCTAGTCTGTGATCAGTTTGTTCTGGTTTTTTTGTGTGCAAATATATATTCATAGTTTATTTTTGTAATATCATATAATATAATATATAGTACTTAATAATAACCATATGACTAATAACTGATTTACTAATTAACTAATTAACTAATTCACTAAACTGATATAATGACCGTTGTGTCCAGTAACTTTCAGACACGTTGTGACCTTCTTAGACCTGGAATATTATGTAATAAGAAACTGGGCCACGTGTCATCGTCATTTTCACTCTGCAGGTTCAAGAGCATGCGTTTTGTAGCCGATTTAAAAAGGTTTATGGAAAAAAGTGTGGGTAGGGTGCTTACATTTGCATTTACAGCATAAATTGAGAGTAAAGGTCCTTTGAAGAACATCGAAGATCTGAAATGTGTGGTGTTGTACTCGGCTAACCAGGATGCTGCAGTCACGTGATCTGAGTTTGCAGTGGGTGCATTTTCTGGGATAGTCATACAGATTTGTTGAGGGACTGAGCTGCGGAAATGTTTGATTCGGTGCATGAGAATTAGTGTGTTTTTTACAATAACACTGTGCACCGTGAGTATACCATTGTTATTGAAAAATTGTTTTGTGTGTTCTGGCAGTCGACCGTCTTTGTAAAAGTAATTAATGTGACCTGGCATTACTGCCCTGATACCCTGTTTTTGTCGTGAGAAGAGTGATTCAATGTGATTTTTTGCTGCAAACCCCCATACAATTGAACAGAAGTTTAAATGCAATTGAACAAAACTTTGATATATCTGTAGCCTTATTTGAATCGATAGGTGACGTTTTATTTTATACATAATTCCTACATACCGCATCATTTTTGATCTAACAGCTGCTATATGCTTAGACCATGTTAGTTGATCATCCATTATAACGCCAAGGAACCGTGCTTCCCTTTTACGTTCTAATTGTGTGTCTGCAATATGAATATTTGGAGTATTATCAGTATTTCTAACACCGAAAAGCATATAGCAGGTCTTTTTTAGATTAAGTGCAAGTCCATTACAGTCAACCCAGCGTACAAACTCGTGGGAGAATTGGTTGAATTTTTGTATAACATCGTTTGCATTTTTGCCTTTTATTATGATATTTGCATCATCAGCGTAGAGTATAAACTTTATCATACTGTTGATATTTGGCATATCATTGATGTAGATTAGGAATAACAAAGGTCCCATAATACTGCCCTGTGGAACTCCGTATGTAATAGGTTTAAGAGCTGATTTAATACCATTCAAACATACATATTGCTGACGTGTGCTCAGGTAGGATTTAAACCATTGCAAAGCTTGCCCACGGATTCCATAGTGCTGGAGTTTGTCAATCAATACATCATGAGACAAAACGTCAAAAGCTTTACTAAAGTCGACTAGGAGTAATAGAGCAACTTCCTTTTTGGCAAGGGAATTCAGAATCGTGTGTTGAGCATCCAAAAGAGCATGCTCACAGGATCGGCCTGGCCGGAAGCCATATTGCCCTTCAAAGAGCGAGCCTTTCTTGTCAAGGAAGTCCATTACTCTATTATGCATAAGTTTTTCATACAATTTGGAAAAGGTGCACAGCAAAGATATGGGCCGATAGTTAGTGGCGTCGGATTTGCTGCCTCCTTTGTGAATTGGTATAACTTTAGCTATTTTGAGAGATGATGGGAAGATACCTTGACTAAATGATGTGTTAATGATTATGGACAAGACTTTACAGAAGGAGGGGCAGTCTTTTACCATTTTTAGGGGTTCAATTTTAGTGTCTTGAGTGGATTTATTCTTAAGCTTGCTAATAATTTGTTCAACTTCACTTTCGGTAGTTGGTCTTACGAACATAGACTGCGAAGCTGTCTAATGTCGTTGTGGGTGTTGAATCGGTCAGCATGTATCGATAGTGGACTGACTGCATCGAATAAGAACATAGTGCGCGGGAACTGTTCTATGAAACTTCTGATGTGATTATGCAGCAGGACGGCACTCGCTCTGTTTTTCTGGATATCGTTTATGCCAGCACTTATGAGTACAATGTCGGCTTGCTGAATCGATTCCCGGTGTTCCTTTAAGTCGCGGAGGAAAAATAAGTTTTCCCGGAACGCTATGACAGGTGAACGAAATTGAGAACAGTCAATCAATGTGTATGTCCGACCACTTTTGTATCACATTTGACATTGATATTAAGACCAAGTATATTAAGCAGCCTAAAAGAAAGATCTTTAATTATAGTAAAGGTAATTTTAGGGGCCTGAATTCTGACTTATTTAGCATCGATTGGGATAGTATATTTGAGTGTAATGATCCTTATC